AATTATTTATTTTGTCTTAGTGAACATTTATTTTAGAGTTTAGACATGTTTTGTGAATGTTGAACATTTGGGTTAAGTATTCAAGGGATGTACTTTTACGTTTCTAAAATTTAAAATATTTCTATAGATTATTTTACTGTTACATTGTGGGTATGCGCTTAGGACTCTAGATGAGAGTTCGAGCTGTTACAAGCTACCAAGCAATCAATCATCTCAAAAAATAAATTTTTTCCCCTTAATTTAGGTATTTTCCATTAAAAAAAATCATTAGTGTCTAAATATTGATATTAGCTAGCACTTAAGGAAAATTTTGCAAACAAAAATTAATTTCTTAACTAAAATATTTGTCACAAAAAGATTTATTTTTCCATGACTAATTTTTATATCTTCAGCAACACCCGTATTGCAACCAGCATAATGATGAAATTCTTCGTCCAAAAACTCTTTTTAACAAAATTTGATATATTCAACGAAGAATTTATTTATCATAAAAAGTATTTTTGCTTTAATTTATATTTTATTTATTAATGAATCGAATTAAATATAAAAACTATTGTTATTGAAATCCATTATCTAAAGAAATTATTTTGAATTGTTTTGCACAGCAATATTAATATATATATATATATTTAATTTTAATAATATTTGACTAATTAATAATACATTTGTATAAAGAAAACTTTGAAAAAATCACGTGTAGATTTTTCTTTTAAAGCAATAACAAACTTTGATATATGTAAAAAATATTTATGTTTCTATGTTAAAAAATGCATTTTTAAATTTTATTTTTTACAAAAATATATTTCTTTATTTATTAACGAAGTACTTTTTCATTAAAGAATCAAGAACGAAAAATGTCATCATGCATAATGTGAATCTTTTCATTGATAACTTTCATTTTTTAATGATCGAATATTCCTCCTAAAATTTTTATTTTATTTGGCAAAAGATAACAGTAAAAAAGCTCTAAGTTTTTACAAGTGATGCATATTTGAGATTATATTTACCTGCCTTCAAATAGTTGTGCAATTAGTTATACATGGATTTATTAGATTGTGACTCGTATAGACAATTTAATAGTTAGAAATAATGCGACATAAAAATAGAGTATGGTTTGTAAATAGAACTTATTTCAAATATATGTCAAAAAAAAAAGGCCTAAATTATGCTTTGCTAAATTTAGCTCTATTGTTAACCAATTTGCTTTAATTTAAGTCTTCTTATATAATTTTTGAACTTGTTTGCAAACTCAAATAGTTTGTTTTCTATCTTAAGTTCTAGTAAACAAGCTACTTAAATGAAATAAAACATATTATTAACAATACAAGCAATATACTAGCTATCAACTATGTAGAAAGATAATAATTTAGGATAAATCAATTTATTTTTTCTTTGTAATCAATAGTCATAACTATCATATTAGCTATGATCTTTAAATAAATGTGTTCATAACTAATACACTGTGCATGAATATAACCATATTCGAACTTCTTCATGAATCATTTAGAATGCATAGGAAATTAGGGCTTTAACATCCTTGGGAAAATTATTAAATTTAGAAAGGTACTATCTCCTAGTGTTATAATTCCTTACCATTAAGAAAAAAGTACTGCTTAGAGAAAACCAAGAAGGATATAAAGTTTGAGAAATACAAGAGATTCTCCAAAATTCTAAAATCTCAAAAAGGTAATGCGGGCATATTACTAAATTAAATAAACCTCTTCTTGGAATCCTGTATTTTCTGTCTCTACTTTCATCATCTTTGAGCTTGGAGATAAGATAATGGTGATCGAAGTTGCCAGAAATCCCTATTAAAAATAACACTACTCCAAGCCACTTCAAATCTAGTTTAGGCTCCACGATTCTTTTTGTAAGTTGTTGACTATACAACATTTGACATAAAGTAACTTAAAATAATAAGAACTATTTTATCAAGATTCATTCCCCAACTATATTTGTGAACAAATTGCACCTGAATTATATACAAATTCAAATATTAATTCAAAAATTACAGTGGCGATAATGAGATTTGGTAAAAATTAATAGTAGGAAATTAACTATCTGACCTTGAAGATTCTCTTGAGGAAATGGAGAGTAAGAGCTGATTTGAGAAGCAGAAACCTGAGGCAGAGACCATCATTTTCGTCGTGATGAGGAAAGAGTTCGAAGAAAGTGAGGCATACGAGAAATGTTGGAGTATATTAGACAAGCATGCTGATTCAACTTCTCACCTTAATCTCTTTAAGTTTAAATTGAGTTTGCGAAGAAATAGGCTTCATAAATTTGGAGTATTGGATGTGTTTGCTGCTCAGTTCCCATATCGCTAAATTCGTCATTCCTATCAATGTTATCGCTATAATCGCCATCATCAGCCCCGATGGTGCAGGGAATATCACTTTCTCCACCAGCATTGCCTCTGTGTGTGTGTGTGTTTACTTATTTGTGTTTGAGGAGAGAGAATATATGTTTTTCATTCAAGTGTACACCATCTTTCCTATTTAACTGAAATTACAACTAAAGCTTAACGAGCTTAACAGAAGTAATTAAACAATATTAAAACACTTAGTGTAATACTCTCCCTTAATATGAATAATAATATCTTTCACAATTTATTTTGGACGTGTCTAATACTTCTCCTCAAGATAGATAATATACATTTTTTTTACAGTAATCTTAGATAGTAAAAAAAGTAACACATGGAAAAGAAGAATTTTATGAAAATATGAGTAAGTTGATGCTTTGAAGAAATAGGCATTAGCTTGACCATGTCTTAGGTAATATGCTCAACAAAATAACAATCAATTTTTATGTTCTTGGTTCACTCGTTGAACATTAGATTGGTAGCATATAAATAACTGTTTGACTACCACAAAAATAATCATAGGTTATGAGTTATTTACTCAAAATTTATGAAGTAATTAACATATCCATATCAGTTCACTAATGGTGGATGTCAACACACTATATTCAGTCTCAACCAAAGATCTTGAGATAATATATTTTTTCTTAACTTTCAAAAAAATTATAGAATCACTAAGAATGATTTAATAATAATCCTATTAGTTGTTGATAACAGGATGAATTGAGATTGTGAACAAAGAATGAAATGTCAATATGATTAGGTTAATCTTTAGGATGAGATAAGACTTGGTCTACAAACATACTTACGAGATGAGACATTTGCCTATGTCTATACTTGAGTCATGAATTTTATGGCATTTCTTATTGGTATGTCCATAAAAATTGCAACATGTGCAATAGGACTTGCTCCTACTTTAGGTTTTATTTCCATCAATGCATTGCTGCTTAAGATTCTCAGCCTTAAGTGAAAAAGTTATGTCAACCATGTTTACAGACATAAGAGCAATATTGACATTGATGCTCTTCTTAATTTGTTAAAGAAAATATTTTATTAATCGCAGGTTGATGATCTAATAAGAATATCTAACTCTGAAATTTAAAAAAACTATTTAATTCCATCAAGAACAAAATAATATATTTTGTTTTGAAATAGTTATTCAATTCGGCTACACCCCTACAAGTGCACTTGTTGGATGAACAAACTAGTCCTAAGTGTTTAGCTCGTCCCAAAAAGCTTTTAATATTGTAAAATATATACTAATTGAGTTTTAATTTTGTAAATGATTAATTAAATAATTTCGTAGTTGAAAAAGTTAAAGATCGTTGCTTCGTTGAAAGTAGTATTAGAAATTAGTTCAAATTTCAGTAGTATAATCAAAGAAGAGAATGTTGGCCAAAATTTCCTTAAATACATAATTCAAGATCCAAAAAATTACAACATTATTATTATGAATTCAAGAACTAAGCAGATTTCGATTATTATCATATGGCTTTCCGATAAAATCATCAAGAATCTTATTTTATTCTCACAAATGAAGTAAGTGACATAATTCTACGAGACATAACTATTTTTTATAAGTGAATGAGAAATTAATAATAAATAAAAATTTAGTTGCTGCAAACGTATTATTTATACTAAGAGAGAAGAAAATCCATGGGAGAATTGAGGAAGTTTATAAAAAATATATATATATTTTTGAGTCTTTCAAGAGAGAAAAATGACTTCAAAACTCTAACAGCATGTTGTGGTATCTTGAGAGAAGAGAATCCAAAGCCAATGAATGCCTAAGGAGGTTAACAAGGGCAGTTAAATAATATTAAGAGCACGTGTCTAATATATAAACATGTAAATCTATATATATATATATATATATATATGTATTCTTGGAGCTGCTGCTAAATTTGTATTTGTGGTCTATACACTGAACTATGTATATATTTCCTTGGATCCATGATTAAGGACAAAAATAAAAACATTCACGCTCTTGAGGGTGTCTGACTGGAATCTTTTTTAAATAAAGTTCATATATATTATTTATTTATTGCCTCAATATATATATATATATATATATATGATGTGTATGTATATACATGGTATAGTGGCAGAAATTACTAAAAGAAATGAGATAATAATATTATTCGCTAAAAATAAACGGAAGTTATAAATTTTAATTATATTTTTACTTTTAGTTTTTATATAAAATTCTCCAATAGTAATTATTATTTTATCTAGTAAATGATAATAATTTGTAAGCATTCAAATATAATATTTCATACAATGTATTTATATTTACAATTTTTTAATTTTATATTATCTAAAGTTCTTTCTGTAACATTATTCTATATGTTTTTAAAAACTTATAAAACAAATATCTATATATATATATATATATATAAGGTACATATATTAGACTAACTATATATATATATATGTAATTTTATGAAATTTTGAGTAACGCATCTCAAATCCAATGTTTAGACTCCTTCCAGGAAGGGTAGAAATGAAAAATTTTGGAGGCTTGAGTAATGTATAGAAAATTAGGGTATTTAATAGCCTTGTATGTCTCAGAATACAGTATTTTGTACATATGTATGGGATGTAAATTTTGGCTGCAATATAATTGATATCATCATAATACTTGGTTTTGGGAAAAAAGACTTAAACCAAGCATAAAATCACCAGACAAATTACGTTCATGCCTAAATATAAAACCAAGGATCTCTAACTCATTTAAAATTTACCATCTTACAATCAAACTAGGGGAAGCAAACCAAACAAATAGGAAAACAAATTTTTAATTTCTGACTCTTGCTGATAAACCAAACCATCCACACACCCATCGCACTTCAACCCATTCTAAACCAAGTTTGAATCTATACCTCCCATATCTAATTTAGAAGAAAACAAAAAAACACAGTCAAGTTATACCGCGATTGCTTCAGGCTGGCCGAAAACACGGGGGAAGAAGAAAAAATTTTGGTGTTTTTTTTCAACGGACCTCTTCAATCTCACTCAGCCTCCTTTCTCTTTGTCGATCTCTCCTTTCAATTCTTCTTCTTTTTCTTGCCTTAGAAATCCCAAAATGCCCTTCCCCACTTCTATCGGGCCAAAGTACCAACCAACTTGCTTAAGTATCTCTTCCCCAAAAAAATTCAACCAACTTCTGCTTCTAATATTTTCAAGTTGTGTCCACCTATAGGATACCATGCACTACTTACTGCTAAGAGTTACCTGAGTTCAAATGCTCTCTGTTCTGGTTAAGATAATAATGATTACCACTGAATTCCCCTGCAAGAAAAACCTTCATGCTTTTGGCAGCAGGGAGCAAGTAATTGAATGAAAGGAGCAAAGTTGATAAAGAATCCTTCTGATCATGATGGTAACTCCTCCTTCCATTAAAACAAAATGCTCTGGAAGAGGATGGATAATTTACTTTTGAATCAGCTTGTAGGTGAAGAGCCCGCATATCCCAGACGAATTCTATTTGATAAAGGCCTCGCGATGAGCCCATCAGCAATCCAACCCACAGATTCACTATCATTCTTGACATGGTTAAATTCTCTTCGCACATAGTCTAAGGACATTTGTAGCCGCCCTCCTGGTTTGCAATCCATAGAGACACCTCTTGCTTCAATTCCTGCATTCTTCTCCAGCCAGTATAGGTAATTCACTTGAAATAATGACTTGAGCATTTCTTTTGGCGAAGAACTTTCTTTCAGCACTATCTGTTCCAAATCAATATTCAATTAAATAAAAAAAATAATTGTTAGCAATTAAAATGATACCTTGCTTGACAGGAGAAAACTTCCCAAATCAAAATTCAGGTTGGTGGTTATGTTGCATTCTCACTTTATTCCTTTTTTTTTAAGATAACATTCTCACTTTATTCCTTAAGAAAAAGTAAATTTGGGGTTTCCAAGTCCCTCTTGTTTCTTATATAAGTTTCCCCTAAAACTTTTCTGGAGCCCGTGCAAACATACCTTTGACAATAGGAGATGCTAGAAAGAGTTAAAATTCATGCACTTCTAAAGGAAGGGAAAAATATTCATGCACAATACTGAGACAAATCCCAACAAAGATAGCTGGAAAGGAAAGGATAGAACAACCTCTAGGGAAATGAAATAACAAAAGGAAAAAAGAAAAATTGATATTAACTGACAACCATTTTACCTTTCTTTTCCAAATTTCAAAATAGTGGGGTTTTCTTAAGAAAATTCTAGATTACTAGCAGAATAAATTAAATTGCATTCACTTCTTGGCAATTATAAGATCTCTTCAACAGAAAACGATGTTAAAGTC